ACATGGTCACAATACTACATCAGAATCGTGTTGCCTCCTGGATTTGAAGTGATGCTTTTGCTACACCATATGGACCCAAGTATTGAAACGGAAATGGTGAATTGATGGATGAATCCAAATTTTTCATCACGTTCTTGTCAATTCTGTTTCCGATTGTGTGGAAAAACTTGACCACCCCGACCACAACAGCAAAACATTTGCGATCATACGAATAATGTTTTTTTTCTGAAGTCTCACAGACACGTCCAAAATCTGGAAAAGTCTTCCCAGAAAAGTGGAAGCTACGAAGAAGGTGACCACCAAATTATTTCTATTCCATTTGCACTTTGCATCGATGAAACGTCCCAATACTTTGGTCCATATATTCTAACTTTAAGTTTAAAATGCAAACACTGACTACATCTTCACCCTCAGAGCAGGAATTGCTGCGAGCTCCACCATTAACGTGACAATGAAGAAGCCTCGCACATTTTCACCACCGGGAATGCTGACCAACAGCTCCAAGTTCCTGCATGAAGTTAAATCAAAGCTTCAGTTGACTTTGCACGCCACCGAATGCAACTGTAGCTCATGTGAGGATTTAAAAATGTACTCACTCTATTTCTAACAGCCTGTTACGGGAATTGACAAAAAAACAAATGGAACATTGGTCGATGAGAATTTTTAAAAGATGCAACAAAGATGTGCTCGGAAGTTATTTGGCTTCACCCCTCTGGATCCTTCTTGCGCCAGTTCGCTAGCACCGCGTCAGCATGGGTGAGAATTGGAGGAAGTCCTAAGCGTTGGGACAGCTCCCAGAATGGAACGGCCAGAGTGCGTGGCAGCATCTTGGAGGGAGATTTTGCGCAGAGAATATGTATCAGCCTTCTTGTAAGCCTCATTCGCATTTTCACATCTGAGCTGTAACAGATCCACCCATCCATTTCCCGGCCTATTTTTTAACACCCAGAACCCGGTGAAATGCGAGATTGACTGCTTTCACACCGTGACATGGCCTCCCGCCTTCAGATCATTCGATACGGGATGACGTCGGCGCCGGTTGTCTTTCTGGTGTGTACACACGAAAGCGCCAATTGCTTAAATGGGTCTCGGTTGCCAAACTTGACACCTCTGTCCCGCCTTTCTGGAATTCCTTACACACAAGTTGCGTCCAGTCTATGTTACGTCTCTCGTAATACCTCGGACCGCTGAACATTTCCAAGGTTAACTTTGGCTCCCCGTTTTGTGACAGTGCCGTTCATACAGGCAGGTTCTATAGCTCCAAAAAAAAAAAAAACATTAGCTAACTCCAACTTAACAACATCAGCAGTGACCTATGATCGACTGCAGCAAATTAAGGACTGGAAATAATAATTGTGTGTTGGTATTAAAGCTAAAACAAAAAAAAAATGTGCCATGTATCCTGGTTTAAGATGAGCACTTATGCCATATCATTGGAAGAGAGCGTATTGCTGTGCGTAGGTAGAGCGCTCAGAGCCGTCAGGGCAGCTGGGAGGGATTCGTGTACATATTGAAGACCAAGACATTTTTTGGGGGCAACTGTGTGTGGTGGGCCGACTTATATTGGTTGCCTCTTGTTAAAGCCCCTCTGGAGTCTGGAATAAGATGCAAAAAACATCAACAACATCAACAAAAAAGCAAGCGCAAAGTTGATCCTGTTGCATCGCTTCTCAAAATGGGGTGCTGGGACATGCAGGGGTCTAAAAGCCATAAGAGAGAAAGAGAGAGAGAGAGAGAGAGATACCTCGACTGTGTCGCTCTCACCCTCCTGCCAAACATATCCCATGGTCATGACACCGAGGGCTAGGTGGGCTAGTCGAAGCTCCCTATGCCTCTGCAGGTACTGGATGCTCAGTTGAGGCATCTGCACGGATACTACACTGAGCCATGACTCCATAAACCCGATGAACTGGCTTTGTCAATTCATGGAGCCCACTCACCTTCCTAATTTGGGAGCGCAACTCATGTGCTTCAACAAGTTCTGGGACTCGCTGGGCAATGTCCATCCATGGTTGGTAGTAAGGTGGAAGTTCTTGCTTTGGACACGAATGCCGAACAAAATGTACTTTGTTAGAATCGGGAATAAGGGTTAGATGATGGCTGAACACACTCAGTTGCTCCATTGGGTAACCTGGCATGTGCTGTTTCGAAAAAGGTTAATGCAAGAGTGATTTTTTTTTTCTTTTGAACAGACGCAGCCTTTTGAAATAAAGTTCAAGACAAAGCAAACAGCAATGATGCCAGAATTCGGCTTCTCCCGGTCAGTTTGTCTAAATCAATATCACTAGCTATGAATTCAGTTGTCTCGCTGCTATGTGAGCAATTTTGAGTCTTATCTAACAGGAAATTTATACGAAATGCTTTTTTTCACTTGGATATCATTTGACATCTACCAGACACCGTTTACTTCCAATCTGCAACTTCTTAATGGCTACGTTCACTCGATACAGCATGTCAAAGTGGGGGGAAAACACCACAGGCATTTAAACCTACCAGAGGCTCTGGTAAAACGAAGCCCAGGTCCTCAGAGAAATGGTACACGTCCAGAGAGAAAGGAGCTGTGGAGTCATTGTAAGCAGCCATTGACAAACTAAGACGGCAAGAGTTCTGCAGCACTCCGAATGCCTCACAAGACCGCTGCCTGTGTGGACTCCAGCACAGAGTTCACATCAGCGTCAAACCCCGATCGTCAATAATTACGCAACGGCAAAAGTAAAAGAGACCCTCTCGTTACACAATGACACGTCAAGAGTGGAAAATCAGTGCATATGTTTCATTTTCTGAATATTTAAGGGGGAGAGGGTTGGAGGGGGGGGCTTTTTCCGCAGGCATCCGCAATGAGAGATAGAGTGCCACATCGCATCGCATTAGTTGTGCCAACTTGTACTGAATCATCCTGCTTTCACTTCCGCCCAACCTTATGTCATCTGTGATTTATTTGTACAAGTACTTTATGTGAGATTCTTCTTCTTACGCCATTATTTCCCAAATCCTTCTTCCTCAGCATGAAGTTAGTTCTATTATTATTTTTTTCCTCTTTAATTTCATGTGTGTCCCTTGAAACACCAAATATGCGGTATACGGGGATCCTCAGTTTACAACAGAACTCCCTTCCAACGACACCCTCATAGCTCGTTTCCATATGTACATCAGTTACTCTGGTTTTTATTTAGCCCCCAAAAAATGTCTGATGTAATTGCTCAGCGTCCATGTGATCCAGTAGCCGGAATGTTTTGTTCTGGTTGTCTAGCGGGCGAAGAATGGATCTCTGCGCAGAAAATCAATTATTGAACAATTACCCTGTCTTTCTTTAATCTAGACAATGAGTGATTGTGAAGCACAACGGTCTGGGTTACAAAAGAGAAAAAAAGCAACAACAAAAAAAACAAAAAACAACGAAAAACTTAGGTCACAAATGACAAACAAAGAGGTACTGTTGTTTGGAAGGTACGGGAATGACCAAACGAAAATCCAACTGGTCAAAAGTGAAGTCAAACAAGATTTAAGGCAGCAACTAAAGCAGCATGCAGTACAGTACCTTGCTGCACCTATACCAAACAAGGCCTATTGCAAAAAAGGCAGAGGAGACGCCGCGACCCAATTTACCAGACGAGTCTTTGGACAAAGGAAAATATCGTAACCAGCAGGCAGAAATATAGAACATGACAAAAATTATTAACCCTTTCAGGGACAGTGGTGACTACAGTGGACACCTTATCACGTTAAAAGGGTAAGGGTGCGTGAAAGGGTTAATCTGTATCTTCACCCTGTTGATATTTTTGGGATCAGATCATGGATGTATAATTAGAGCTGTATCAAAGATAATGATGCTCAAATCATCGCTGGGATTGGATGCCTTGCAAGGATCATTTTGAACAGCACACCTCAAGTTCAAAAATGCTCGTTACCGGAGTTGTAGTTTGCATGGATTGCAACTCGATTTTGAATTATATTAATCGCTCGTGCGGGCCTCTTGGATAATTTATTCTGATTGGCGGTCTGCTTCGAGGCAGTAAAAAACTTTATTATTCTGTTTGCGTACTATATGTTCCTCAAGAAGGATTTTTTTTAAAATTTAGTCTGTAGCTATGCAGTTATATCGAGTGATATCCTTTGATCTTGGTGCTGCCTGTGTGTAATATTGAAGACAGTTTTTTCAAGCATTTGCTTAACGGACGTGAATGGAAGGGACACAGCAGCGGTTTGACGATAACTAAAGTGTCAGCATCACCTGGTGGCACAGACTCAACATTGCAGCAGTAATTCTGAAACGGCTTTCCACAAAAAAAGTACAGTATTTTCTATTTTACAACTAAAAGAGAGGTTTTTATTGTTATGTATCCTGTTTAACGTAGTAGTCGTTTTATGTAAAGCAGCACTTGAACATAGCACGAAGGATCTTTCTATGACAATGTCAATGTAAATCTACCACGAATATGAGCCATTTACTTGCTATTTTTTTGTTGGCGAGACTTGTACACACTGACGTCACCTTGTAGGCCGTTACACATACAATTTGTTTGAAGAAGGACAGTCTTCTCTTTGACTATTCGTCACGTCTACGCCTTTCATAATCAAATGCCGTTATAAATAGCCATGTTTGAGAATGTGCTTTGTTCATCGATCGGGCTGAGCTGAGAGAGAGGTCTGGGAATTGAGGCTATGTTCAAATCTCGGAAGCCGTTTTACAACTGCAAACTCCCTTGTTAAGATTGTGCGTTATGTTTGAGTGGAATTTTGGAATAAAATCCCATATTCGAACACTTAGGCCAGCTATTACAGCTTTTATATATTAGGTCCAATGGTGGTAATAAATGTTGTATTTTATTATTATTATTATTATTATTATTATTATTATTATTATATTAGCTGGTAGGCTACCTGACATAACTAGTTTGTGAACCGTCGCAGTAGTGTGTTTGTTGAGCTTAGTGTTAGCCAAGAGCATTATGTCACAATGAGCTGGCATGTGATTTCCAAAGCACCCCGCAGAGACCGATTAAAGAACATGTGCTGCTCTTTCTAGGCCACCGAGGATCCGTGGAATGAGATTGATGGCACTTGAAAGTGGATCACCGTTTAGTATTGGACGGGTCTAGCTCCCCCCTCTTTCTCCTGCCTATTATTAGCCACGGAGGCCGAGTGCGTGGAGGTGGACCGGTCCACATGACGGTCACGGTTGCAGCTCCGTGCGTTACCGGAAGGCGTGATCGAATGAGTGAGTGAGTGCTTGAGCTCGGCGTCCTCGGCAGTTGGAATTATTTTGTGTTATTACATGTGATCCAGCCGAAGTAGACTGTTTTTGAAGCCTTGACCACTTCGCCCACGAAGATGAGGTTAAACAGGGGTTGTCGCCAGGTGCAAAGCCGCATCCGATGGAGTCGTGCTTTGTGTCTCGTCCCTCGACCAACCCCATGCGGCACTTCCTCGCCTTACGGTAAGCAGGAAGAAGGAAGAGGCGGAGGGCGTGCGTGTGTTTATTTTTATTTTTTTACCCCTGAACGTTGTTGTTTTGATTGTCTTGCGGTGGCACCAGATAAACATGGCAAAGAGTGCATGGCGTGGGTTACATAACGCGTAATGCAGCACAGCCTCGCAAAGCCTCGGTTGCGTGGAAATGGCATTGTGATCGTCTTTGACGTGCATCGTAACCTCCCCACAATATTCTGCATTATCATTGAATCAGCACGGAGTTCATCTGCCTATTTATATAGAGCAAAATATTGAAAAATATAGGCGGGATGTTTGGATTGAGTCGTAATAGAGGCCCAGGGCACGTTCACTAAAGGAAATGTTTTATAATGGATGGCACCTTCAGTGAAGTCAAGATTTCAATGAAGACCGTTTTTTATGAATGGGTGAAGATGCTTTGATCCCTGTGGGGAAAAAAATCAACAATGAGGAATAAACTTGTAAACAGAGACGCTATCTGTGTTTTGAAGGTGTTGAAATGGAGGAATACTGTCATGAACTGAACAGAAGAGTCCCAACGGATCTAATTCAGACAAAAATAGCACCATTGACAATGACTAACCTAAACCGCCCTCACTCTGGTTCTTTCATCAGAACAAGGACTGTCTGTATGCTGTCCTCACAAACATGAGTTACACTCGCTCTCTATTGTAGCCTGGCCGCAATCTCCATTTAGCAGCACCCGAAGCTGTGACATAAAACGAGAGGCTACAGTTACCTTGGAAACCACTCCTGGCTCGACAGCCACCATTTTCCAGATGCACAAATAATCAGTTTATACAGGATGTTACCCCCAGGCGATATAGTAGATGAGCAGTTAGTGCATCCGGCTCACAGTTCTGAAGATGGGGGGCCTTTCTGTGTGGAGTTTGCTTGTTACATATTTTACACAGTGTGCAACCACATTGTAGCAGTTTCCCCCAATAAGATTTTTAAATGGTTGTTGTACAGGTTACAGCTCACATTTCATGGTGGTAAAAGTTTTGAAATGACTTATCTTGGTATATATTTTTTATCTATACTGGATACTTTTTAGACACATTAAAAAAAAAAACATGGTCATGATGGCCACGGTGACATAGAATGTCTCTGACTGATATCCTATTGTTCACCTACAGTTCATGACATAATGACTTATCTTGGTATATATTTTTTATCTATACTGTATACTTTTTAGACACATTAAAAAAAATGGTCATGATGAACTAGAAACTGAGGACACTGTGACATAGAATGGCTCTGACTGATACCATATTGTTAACCTACAGTTCATTACACACACGCACACACACATAAAACCAAAAACACATGAGAGCAAACAAAACAACAGAGAGCAAAAAACAAAAATCCGATTCTAAATAAACCCAATCACAAAATGTCAAAACCAAAAACACATGAGAGCAAACAAAACAACAGAGAGCAAAAAACAAAAGAAAGCAAACACATGCAGATGTGTTTGCTTTCTTTCAAAAATCCGATTCTGAATAAACCAAATCACAAAATGTCGAGTCTGAGATTTATGCATCTGAGGATTTGTCGACAACTGCGTTGCAAAATGTAAACGAGCGCTTTCTATTTTTGTCCTGCTTGTCCCCTTTAAATACTAAATTGTGACATCACGACAAAGGACTTGTGAATGGGAAGTCACGAAACCATTCACCGCTCGCTCTGTGTGCAGAGTGCGCAAGCGGAGGCACAATGTCTCCTGTCCACTTCGATCCAAGGATTCCTCGTGCGCTGATGCGACAATCTGCTTTGGTCTTTGTTCCGACAGGTCGCATTTGACAGATTCTGATATGGACTATGAGAGGCCTAACGTTGAAACCATCAAGTGTGTGGTGGTCGGAGACAATGCCGTGGGAAAGACCCGCCTTATCTGTGCCAGGGCCTGCAACGCCACACTCACTCAATATCAGTTACTGGCGACACACGTGCCCACAGTCTGGGCTATAGACCAGTACAGAGTCTGCCAGGAGGGGAGGATGCTGACCCATCACATCATTTTGACTATTTGAATAAATAAACCTTTGTGGTTACTGATTCTTGATTGGGAAATGTATGACTCGATGACACAGTTGATCTTGTTTAAGGTTTTGGAGCGCTCCAGAGATGTCGTAGATGATGTCAGCGTTTCCCTCCGTCTCTGGGATACTTTCGGAGACCACCACAAGGACAGACGATTTGCATACGGCAGGTGAGGATGAAGAAAATTTGTCTTTGAGCAATTCACATCAGTTTTTATTCAAGCATTTTTCTCGGATTCAGGTCCGATGTGGTGGTACTGTGCTTTTCCATTGCCAACCCGAACTCCCTGTATCACGTGAAGACCATGTGGTACCCCGAGATTAAACACTTCTGTCCCCGTGCGCCCGTCATCTTGGTGGGCTGTCAGCTGGACCTACGCTACGCAGACCTGGAAGCAGTGAACAGGGCGCGGAGGCCTTTGGCAAGGTATGAGGCATCCGTAGAACAACATTTAAGACTTGGAATCATGATTATGTCGACGGATGGGCAATTGTTGACGGCTAATCACGGATATTAAAGCAATGAGGTCACGCCATTACCCAAAAGCAATTGATGCACTCACTCAGATTGCTCTGATGTCATCTTTACCTGACAGCTCAATGACTGTTGAAGATATGAAAAGCCAACTTCCTGAATGCTATTGATCTGATTGTTTGCAGCAAAGATTTGAATATATGTGATGTATTGAACTGTACGATTATTAATAGGTGTATTGCGATGCACTCATAAATCCTATCGTGATTTTTGTGTCGTGTCAAAAACTAGATAAAAATGATCACGGACTGTAATCTGGCAGAGTCCGAGTTTAATTAATATTTATGCTTTTCAGACCCATTAAATCCAATGAGATACTGCCCCCAGAGAGAGGCCGGGAGGTGGCTAAAGAGTTGGGAGTGCCGTATTACGAAACCAGTGTTGTTGCTCAGTTTGGAGTCAAGGACGTCTTTGACAACGCCATCCGAGCTGCGCTCATCTCCCGCCGCCACCTCCAGTTTTGGAAGTCTCATCTCCGAAATGTGCAGCGGCCGCTTCTGCAGGCGCCATTCCTGCCGCCGAAACCCCCGCCGCCTATCATCACTGTGCCGCCGCCACCGACGACCACAGAAGAGCACCCAGTCGGTCTTCTGGAGGACCCCCACTGTGCTGATGTCATCCTGGTGCTGCAGGAGCGCCAAAAGATCTTTGCGCACAAGATATACTTATCGACATCCTCCTCAAAGTTCTATGACCTCTTCATTATGGAAACGCAAAACGAGGAGAGCGAACGACCCTCTCGCGGTCCCCTCTCGGGCCGAGAGCTGCTGATGCGCGCCGCCAGCTTCGATGTGTGCGAGAGCAGCGACGAAGGAGACCGGGCCAACCTGCGAGCCTGCACCAGTGACGGAACTCTGAAAGACTCCGAGGGAGGCCGTCGGGGACGCTTGCTTTCCTCGTGGAGCCGAGCGTTCGTCAGCATCCAGGAGGAGCTTGTGGACGACCCCGTCACGTACAGCCCCAGGCCCATGACCGTAGTACACATGGACCAGTCCATGCAGCCGGGACCCTTTCGAGCAGTGCTTCGCTACCTATACACGGGCCAGTTGGACGAGAACGAGAAGGAGCTCATGCACATTGCGCACATCGCTGAGCTGCTGGAGGTGTTTGATCTACGCATGATGGTGGCAAACATACTCAACAATGAAGCCTTCATGAACCAAGAAATCACCAAAGCCTTCCATGTACGCCGAACAAACCGGGTCAAAGAGTGCTTGGCTAAAGGAACCTTCTCTGGTAGATACGAAATCTGTTCTATTATCTTGCCAACGCGAGGCAAATCAACACAAAAACACGTCCCACCCCCCTCCCCCCATTCTGATCATATTGTCTCCAACATTAAAGTCCCTGGAACGTGAAAATATGATCATACGAGGTTGGTTGTTGTAATCTGATTGTGTCCGAATTTAGCAGACATGCACAAGGTCAATAGCACAGTCATTATGTCCGAGAAAACAGTCCAGCCAAATTGCGCTTTTGGCAAGATAAGGCAGTTGCCCCGTCGCTGGCGTTACTGAGTTTGCGTTTCGTGACCTGAGTTCAAAGAACAAATTGGCGTGTCATCTTTGTCGTGCAGATGTAATTTTCAAGTTAGACGATGGAACCATCATGGCCCACAAGCCTCTGCTCATCTCAAGTTGTGACTGGATGGCAGCGATGTTTGGTGGACCTTTTGTGGAGAGTTGCACAAAAGAGGTAAGATGGAAGTGTGCTATGAAATGGGACTGCACTTCTTTCTGCCAATTATCACCAATTCTACTCATGGATTTTACTGTTTCAAGATCCTGATGCGATTGTAATTACTGGCGAATCAAATAGGGCACACCACTGGAGAAAATTTCGCCGCTCAGCCGTGTGCTCAATGCGGACAATGTCATTTAATCAGAGGCTTGCAAATGTGTGGTCATCGAATTACCCTGACTTCCGTGCTTCGGTTTTCAGCTGGGTAGAAAAGGGAAGGATTTATGTGCATCGCTTCATATGTGAGGTTGAAAACCCTCTGATTATCTTACTCATGGGTCTCCAAGGTGCTGTTTCCCAACACCACTCGCAGCTGTATGAGGGCCGTGCTGGAGTATCTTTACACGGGCCGCTTCTGTTCTCGCACGGACCTGGATGCCATGGAGCTCATTGTTCTTGCCAATCGTCTCTGTCTCCCCCATTTGGTTGCGCTTACAGGTCATACATTTACATATGCAACGCAGTTTTTGCCAGACGAGTTAATGAAAAGCTTAAATGACTGGATTTAACATTTCTCGTAGAACTCTACACGGTAACGGTGCTGACAGAGGCAGCCATGATGGGAGCCGACATTGATGGCGAGGTTTTGGTGTATCTGGACATGGCCCAGGTACTGTGACACTCCGATCTTCATAAACCAGAGGAAGTCATGTCTTGTGGAAGGAGGCATTGCTGTGTTGCCCAGCTGACCATATTTGTACTGCATGCTAGTTATGAAGACGGCTGCACGTGAATTAAAAAAAAAAAAAAAACACAATAATTGATCTGTTTATGTTGTGCTAGTTCCACGGTGCCCAGCAGCTGACTGGCTGGTGTCTTCACCACATCTGCACCAACTACAACAGCGTTTGCCGCAAGTTCCCCAGAGACATGAAGGCTAAGTCCGCAGGTAACCGGCAACCGAAACAGCCGAACCCTGCATACTCAAGGATTCGAAAATTCATCGTTTTTTTTTTCTTGTTTTTTTCCCAGTATTTTTTCCACCATTTTCTACCTCTTTTTAATAGTTGTTCTAATTTGTCTGTTTGTATAAAGAGACCGTTCATATTAATTAACCCTTGCAGATTATAAGACTGAATATATATATATATACTTCTGAATGCCCATTGGTAATCTTGCGGTCCACGTTGTGTGCCATTCACTATCACCGAGCATTTGATTGGTGAATGGTAAAGATGACTGATATTCGCACTAGCCTTCCTCCATCGAGCCAAATCCATCCATCCAACCAATTGTTCGGATTCGGATCGTGGGTGATCATGATCCGATTCCATCTGACTTTGGGAAAAGAGGATTGGCTTTCACTTGATGATGCGGAATGACTACATCCAATCATGCAGTCATTTTCCATTTCCAATGCAGACAACCAAGATTACTTTGAGAAGCATCGCTGGCCACCAGTGTGGTTCCTGAAAGAGGACGACCACTACCAAAGAGCTCGGAAGGAGCGCGACAAGGAGGACTACCTTTACCAGAGGCGCCAGTGTAAACGCAAGTGGCTTTTCTGGAACCTTCCTTCATCCCCCAACTCAAACTCTTCTTCTTCTGGTTCATCCGCTGTCATCTGAGCAAGTGGTAAGACTATGCCCACAATGCGGGGGAGGGGGTCCGCGACGATGTGAAGACGTACAACTAACTATCGACTGCGGCCGCACAGGTTTTTCCTCCTGTTTGTTTGCGTTCCAATATTCACCTTTCCAATATCGGCTTAACGTGTCCTTTTTCTTCATCCATTGAAAGGATTTCTTGGTGCCCACAGGACTGAAGTGTCAATCACCCCAAAAAAAAAAAAAAAACTCTTCTTGCAAATGACCCAGACTTCAAAAGAGAATACAAGCAGTAAAAAGAAGTATTCAGCTGTACGATAATGACCTTCATCCAACCAAGTGCTGCTTATCAGCTGCAACAACCAGCAAATCAACACACAACCCGAGTCTCAGAGATAAAGCACTTTGCCCTTAAGTGTTTGTACAATCGACCACACAATGAGTACAGTCTGTCATCAACAACGGGACCGTCGCTTATCCGCCATGTAAACAAGTTTGGTGTCTAAATGTGACACTGTCGGCATGTGTGTTCGTTTTCTTGAATGTTTGTATTCACCTCGCAGAACTAAAAGTGAGTCTGGATAATGCTCAGTATTTATGATGATGTGTCGTGATCTTGTCCGTGTCCTCGCAAGGGCTGTCGTTTACATGAATGCATTCATTGTCCTGAGACACAAGAGATGATCTTTACTTTCAAACGTCAGACACACACACACACACACACGCACAAAAGATCAAATCACATCACTTATCACAAGGGATGGTGAAAAATAATGATTTATCCGATTAGTTGATCGTTAATACCTGGCTAGCTCGCCTTTTCTGGACTCTTCATCACACACGAGAACCCTCTCTTTGAACATTACAAGACAGGAAGTATGGTGTCATTGAAAGCTGCCACTTCCGGGGAAGGAAAGATTCAAGTGGGATACGAACCGATTTATTCCCAGACAGGGATGTATTGCTCATTTTTGGTCATTTCTCACACCTTGCACTACAGTGGATGTTTGACATGTTTTGTGTTGTGTGTGATTGTAGGCTAGACTGCGGCATTACATTGGTTTGCAAACATGATGTTGAATGAACAAGGGAAGGATTGTAAAATTGTACATTGAATGTTAGATTAAGCGCGTTGATGTAATGCGCAGTTTCCTTATTGTTGTGCACTGCAGGCAGTGAGCGGGACAGCATGCTGTAATGGATTAATACGTTACAGAATATAGACGTGATTAATTGTTTATGTGCAGCTACTTACCGTTGTGGAAAAATGACCCAATGAATCATTTCGATGGCCTCCAGTCACATCGATATGATATACTGTAGTATACTGTAATTACAAAGTAGAGATGTTTAAATTGGACTTACATTGCAACAGGGACACATTACTATGAAGGTTTATTCAATAGAATCAGTAAAACACATTTTGATTTTATTTTTATAATGAAATATTTGGAGTCGTAACAAGATCTGAAAACCGGAAAGGGATATGAATCAAACGAGTGTGTCAACCGATTACCTGCTTGTGCCGTACTCCATAAGAAAGAAAAAAAAAAAATGGAAAAAAGTTCCCCACCACTGTTGTACATTCAAAAGAATTTATCTCCTCTCTCATAGCAACAAAAATATTTTATGTTTCAAATAAAAGGGAAAAAAAAATTGCTCCTAAAAAATCTTTCACGTGCTTTTCATTGAACAGCAACAATACTGCATGTGAAATTCAACGGAGACTCGACATTGTTAATGAATAGTTAATTAGCAGAATACAAAAGTAAGAGGGATGGATATTTTCTTTCCCAGTGGTGTGTTTTCAATCATAAACATGCATTGAATGCCTCGCCGTTTTGCTTTTAGAGAACCTTCTGCTGATGTTTTGCATCAACGACACCTCACGCCTTAATGTACAGTACAGTGTCCGTGTATGGTATTGAATGTAAAGTAGTGTTACTTTGTTGGTATCAATGTTCATATTTCAGAATGTGGATGTCAAGCAAGTGGTGTGCAATTTGAGTGCTTTAGTTTGAACTCGGCATATCTTCTGTAATGCTCATAACACAAAGCAAATTTCATATTCTGGCCAAGATAAAGTGAAGTAAAAAAAAAATTGTTTGCAGCATCTAATGAAAGCAGGGATATAAAATTAGTTTGTTCCATTGACGCCTGAATTGTTCAAGAAAAAAAAATTAAAAAACAGCGTGACCGTGGGAAATTACACTGGAAGTCAAAATTGTAAATAACTGCAAGCGAGATGATCTGCGTATTTAAATAAGGTTTTCTACTGTGCATATTGAAGTTTCTGACTTTGAATCTACAAATTTGCACTGCTTTGTAGTGAAAAGTTCTATTCAAATGACATGAATCATCAGACATGTAGACACCATCAGGTAAAATAAAATTAAAAAAAAAAAAAGATAATCAAATTCATTCTAGGGCCCTTTTTTTGTGTTTGGGTGCTAATATCCCCGCTGCAGAGAAGCACAAACCAAAGGGAGCTTAAGCAGCACCAGGAATATCTAAATATCGATATGCTGCACAATCACTATTGCATAGTTTAAGAGGCCTTGTTTGGAAATTCAGAAAAAAAAGAAACTTTAAACAAAAAATAAAGAACTTGAATGTTTTGTCAGTGTTCCAAGCCTCGGTGACGTTTTCCTTAATAAGTCATCGGATGGTTTTGGTTCTCAAATAGCTCTTTGTATTGTTTTATTGATCTGGAATTCTGTAGCATGTGTTCTTGAAAATATGTAAATAAATTTACTACATAAAACAATGCAGTGTCTGTTGCAGTTTGTATGTACAGTATGATGATATTCTTTGATATAGAGGTCACAAGACACTTGAAACTTCTTTCTATAAGACCAAAAACGTTTGAGTGCGGCCATACGGATTCTTGACCGCCTTTCTTTTCATTGTGTTATTATTAATTAATGGTTTTAACTCTTTTATATGTCTGATTTTTACTTTATGCACAGTATTTTGGATGCAGATATGGTGTTTTTAAATTTCTCTTCAAATGAAATAGAGTTGAGAAATTAAAACAATGGTGTTTTTAAATTTCTCTTCAAATGAAATAGAGTTGAGAAATTAAAACAGAGGCAAGCGAAAAAGAAGAGGGTGCTGTGACAATTTCTCAAGCCTACGCCCTTTTTACAAAACAAACAAAGAAAATTATCCAAGTGTCAACACAAATGTCATCTCATTCAGTGGAATTAAGTCATGAAAACAAATATTTTTTTTGGAAACAAAAGGGAATGAATAAACTTGTTACACAAGAACTCTACACCCAATTAATCCAAAACGAAATACAGTATACACTTTATTTTAGTCTAGGTTAATCTATTTAGTCAATACTGTACTTTCAGGTTAAACATTCTTTTAAACAATGTAATTGACCATACGTGACCCTTTCCTTCCTTATATTCGGTGGTTTTGGTTTTGAAAAAGCTCTTTGTATTGTTTATTGATATGGAATTCTTCTGTAGCATGTGTTCTTGAAAATATGTCAATAAATTTACGACATAAAAAAAACAAGCATTTGTGTGTATGACACTAGTCTTTTATTTAAAGCCCACAAAACATTTGGAACTTTTTTTATGCGATTGCCCAAAATAAATACGCGGGAAAAATAAAATAATCGTGACTTAGTTTAGACTTTAATGCCTGAGTGATAAACAACCCAACACTACTTAATGCCTGAGTGATAAACAACCCAACACTACGCAACTTTCTGAACACTAAAGCGGCGACAATGATAACATGAAAATTAAATCATAATAAAAAGATCCGTAGTTTTTGATGAAGAGAGCCGCGCTTCCGAGGGGTGGCACGAACAACTTGGTGGGCGGGCTCGACTCTTTATACAACTAAAAAGGAGGTTACGCCGTGGTGCGACAGGTGTAAACTTCACTCAACAGACTTGCTTGCTTGCTTGCTAGCAATTGAAACCGTTGCTGACGAAGACATCAACTGCAATGCTAAGGAACGACTTCGGAGCAATGGTATGATTACACGTCGCACATAAAAGTAAATTACAAGTTTTATTGCGTCGTGAACAATATTGGCAAGTGGAGTAAAGCGCGATGTTGCCGATCGATGCGAACTTCCGGGATGTTTCCTGCTGTCAACAAGGCCGTAAATCCGTCTAAATAAGACATCTTGGTTTACTCTTTTCGACTAAGAGTTGTCGTATTACTGTTGTCACTTCGTCTGTCTGACCCGTTTCGAGGTTGATATGAAAAATAATCAGCGAGCTATGCGATTTTCTTTCAATTTGCGGGTTTTATTTTTCCTGTCAAGCGCCAGGCTCGCGAAGGCAAACAGCTGCTATTTATGTCACAAATGAGATAAACATATCGGGAGCCACTGATGCACACTAAAACAAGTTAGCCACTAACGCAGCGGTTGACAACGATGTTCAGCTGGTGTTTTCTCAAGTCCTCGAGTCACAATTGCTAAACAGTACTGTATGTCTAAATAACTGAACACTATTTTCTTTTACAGTCTTTGTTGCCCGTCTTCCTGCTCTCATGTGGCTGCATGTCGGGGTCTCACCTCACGGAGGCCTCAGACGACACTCTGAGCCCTGAAGATGCTTCTTTTTGCGAGTAAGTACAATAAAATAAGCACCATATTAGCATGGTCCAATAACCGGTTTGATAGTTTACCGTGGTTTTAAAAAGTCAACATTAATACTGGTTGTCACAGGTAATGAGCTCTTATTTTTGAGGGGACGTCGAAGCAGGGTACAATATGACTGACTGCTTGCAGAGTTGAGTAACTGAACAGCCACTTTTAAGTTGATTGCCACCAATTATTTTTTTCCTCCTGGATGAGCAGAGAGGAGAGGGGTGAGCAGTTACACATAGAGGAGGGAGCCAGATGAGAGACCGCAAACATTGGTGCCTTTTTGCTCTGATTAATGTACATCATCCGAAAAAATATATTTGTTGAGTTTTGACATTACCAAATAGTCGATTTTTTTGGAAAATAAAATGGATTGTGTTCAATGGGGGAAAAATGCAGTTTTATTTATACAAATATTTTTTTAAAAAGTCATTTCAAAGCGGTCATTTTATTACCATGATTCGCAATATTTTTCCGACCATTTTAAGAATCTAACATCAACCTATGCCTACATGAATGACGCTCGGAGGGAGATCTTAATTTAACACCGTGTTCATTTTGGGGTGAATATAGATTCATTAATTTATTGTTTGAACTGTCTTTGGTATATTTCTGTTTTGTTATTTTTTTTTTTTTTTTACTTCATGTACAGCAGTTTGTATGCAGCTATGGTTGTTTTTAAAGTGCTTTATGAATAAAGTTGAGTTAAGAATTACAGAATTGTACAAGAAAACAAAAGCCAACCAAAAAGGCATAGGGTGAAACCGCCTCTTATCAAGCCTACACCTTTTTTTTCCAAACAAAACAAGGAAAATCATCCAAGTGCCAACACAAATGTTATTTCAGAGTTAATTTACATCACGAAAAGAAAACAAAACCACTTTTTTTGTTATCACACAAAACTTCTTCATCCAGTGAAGCCAACCAACATTGATAATATTTATACATTTTCTTTCATGCTTGGTTTGTATGTTTATTCAACACTTGAAACATTCTTTTTCACAATGTAACTGAACCATACATTTTCATCTTGACTCATACTAAGATCCATGTATCGTGTACAACACCAGTGCCATTAGAAAGGGTTGCCAACATATTCAAAAAAGATAATCTATTTTCTGTAGCATTTGACTCCTCATTGGTTCGAGGTGAGCTAGAACCCATCCCAACTGACTTTGGCGAAGAAGCAGGCGACGCTGTGGACTGGGTTCCAGCCACTCTCAGGGCACATAAAGACAAACCAGCATTCCCACCTTGGGACAATTCGTCTTCAATGAACCTGACCTTACCAAACCGAGCCATGTTTTTGGAATACAAAAAGCATATGCTAGCGCTACACAGGAAAGCTTAACTGCGATTCGAACACCAAACCTCAGAACTGTGAGGCTGGCATGCTAAACTTTAGTTCACCTACTCACTGCAACTACAATGATTCAAAATGTGTTCTTTAACTTGTTGTGGCTGACGAGAGTTGATGCATTGTGACTGACGGGACTATCATTTTATGTAAGCCATAGCGTATAATCATGGCACAAAAGAAAAAAAAAATCACTGAATTATTATCCGATCAAATTTTTTTTCTGTTCTTTTAAGCGGCGAGCTGGAGGTCCAGTACCCAGAGCTTCTTGTTAATAGATGCCTGATTGTTCCAGAGGAATTTCGAGAGAAACTTAGCACCATCTGGGGAGCTCCACTTATTCGGTACCGTCACGCACAGGAGGTAAAACATGATCCGTGGTGTGTGTGCGTGTGCGTGTGCGTGTGTGTGTGTCAAATCCAAGAGAATAACAGTAACCATCAACAATCACATCTCAGATTATCTTGTAATTTCTATCATCTTGATCAAGAACAGATAGTTCAATTCAAGTCCTAGAGTGATAATTGATTATTTAACAAGCGTGAAAGACTGAAAGTGCAAACGGAAGAACTCGAGGACTGCAATTGCCCACCCCTGGTCGAGATGGTGAAATATAAAAGCATGTGAAGTGATTTAAATTTCATCTCAATAGTCAAAATGGTCATCCCCCTTTTTGAACACCAGAGTGCACTCATGTTTCATATTTGTTGTCATGTAATTATCTTCTGTACCAATCCAGAACCAGTGGGTGGTGCTACCACTTCATTGTTAGCGCCATAATGGCAACGGGCAAATAGACCATATTAAGATTTTTACAGTAACTTTGTTTTGTAAGCAGGATTTTGCATCATATGAAGATAGCTGCAGTTATTTGAACAATTTAATTAGCACACATACTTATTAAAAAAAAAAAAAAAAAGAACAATGCATGAGCAAGATCTGAGTTTAAAGCCCAGTTATTATGGGGAATAATTCTTAAAATGCAGAAGCAATTTGTTTTTGTGAATTTGTTTAAAATTTCTGTTTCATTCTGGATGTAATTTTTAAGTGTTACATCACGCATGCTTGTGTTGAATGTAATAAAAAAGCTTCAGTGGCATCATGCTGCCTCACGATCGAGATGTCCAAAGTTCAAAGCGCAACTCGTTTCTTTGTGCGCTTCGGCCTTCCTCCCACATTCCAAAACATGCCTGTTGATTTGAATGAAAACTCTAAATCGACCATAGGTGCGAAAGGATTTTTGTCAATGTGCGATTGGCTGGCACCCAGTCCTCGGTCTATGTAACTGGCCCTTCGCTCAAAGTCAGCTGGCAGAGTTTCTCGCTCGCACACAATCCAAGGACTCTGGAAAAATGGAGAGAAGTCAGATGATAACTGCACCCTGTCAACTTTTTCTGGGTCCCTGAAATGTGACACTTGACTAAAATTGTTGAATTCTAGCTGTACTCGGATGAGTAGCGCAAGAGTAATTTTCTCATCAGAGTTTTGTGTTGCCACCGATTGAGAGTGTTAAAGCGCCCTATTGAAGTTGACATAAAAAAATATATATATATATGTAATTGAAATCAGCTGGATGTAAGATCTCGTCTGTGGATTCAAAAGCTAAGCATTCAGGTTTGAACATGATCTATTGCCCAAACACCGTTTGATCTATGATCCTATAATACTGTCTGGACTGATTCACTGTTATGACCAGACAGCAAAAACCATTACACGTAAAAAGAAATCAATACAAACTTTCTTCGCTTTGCAATGTAATTCCCCCGTTTCCTTGACACTCGAGCAAATTGGCGCCGTTGAAGGGGGCTGCGATTGTCGCTCGTGTTGTTGGTGTGCCAGTTCACCACGCTTTCTGTCAGTGTGCCACTGCTATTCTCCGCCACTCAGCCTTGCAAACCTGTGGCCGCCGTACAGAATAGTGGCTGCTTCGGCTCAAATCCACCCACCGTGACACCCACTTCATTGCTGAGAAGGGAGGCATGCCTGCTGAGTAATTGTAATGGAGTGTATTGGGCACTCGGCCTTTAAACACACCCCTAAATATACCGAAACCGCTTAAGTCCAACACTTTGAAATTCAAAACACATGCAGCTGACCACACTCTTTTTTGAAAATTAGGCTTTGTTTTTTGGACGTCGACTATCATGTGCGAGGAGCTCATGCGCTCCTGAATGGACCTGATTTAAGCCAGAATCAAGTGATAAAGTTTGTGTTTCATGCTTTTTCTTTTTGGGGCTTTTGAACCTTTCAAACATAAATGTGTTGGTAAGAAAAGAACGTAAAATGAGAAGATGAATATGAACAGGAAGTTACTGTGAAGCTTCTGTTAAGATGTGCTACCAGTTTAATTTGGTAGCGTCGTACCTTTATCGTTGGCCTCTACAGCAGGGGTCCCCAACCTTTTTTGCCCCACGGACCGGTTTAAGTCAGACAATATTTTCAGGGACCGGCATTTAAGGTGTGGCGGAATTAATACAACAAAATAATATGGTATGAGCTGCATGAAAACTGTGGTGTTTTCGAAATATAATAATAAACACAAGGAGCGTCTAATCTGGTCGCAACACTCTTATCGCTCTGGTAATGTTTAATGCCTTCAAAATACGATACAACGCAAATTCAAAGTGCATGAAAATGACGACTCACCACAGCCCCGAGCTTGATTTTCTGCAATCAGACAGTCCCATCTCGGGGTAATAGGAGACAATGACACCTCAAGTGTGTGGTTTATGTCCAGTCTACTTCGTAATTTTGTTTTCGTCGCCGTTGCTGCAGAAACCCCCCCGACTCACACAGGTAGGATGTCGGAAATAGCAACTGTGCTATTGTGGCGATCTCAGAGTATTCAGCCATAACTTTGATCCAGTTGTTTCGAACGGACTTTTAAGGCCGCCGTCATTTGCAATCTCCAAGCAGCTTTTTTACTCATTTTGCGGGCTTCAGCATTTTGTTTATGAGCGTCATCGGTCACGTGACCGAGAAGTGTGGCTTGACGTGAGTCAAGCGTGACACAGACGGATGTAACAGAGAATCCGGTAATTTTTCAAAATAAAACACATTTCGTATTCCGAAATAAATAAAACGGAAATAAGGCAAGTTCTTTCTGTGCGGCCCGGTACCAAATGCCCTGCGGACCGGTACCGGTCCGCGGACCGGCGGTTGGGGACCCCTGCTCTATAGGACACCTTAACCAATCTTTTTGTGGTCAGAGGACTGGTTTGTGTCTTGTGTTGCAGTAGCCGTGCATTTGAGTCTCATCTGTTTGCTATCTTTGACAAGAGAGCACAGAGTAAAGATGTAACCTGCTAATATTAGCTTCTCTGGCTAGCTAGCTAGCTTGCCACCGACTGGTTTGCTGCCATATTCGTCACTTGTCAACTAAAGTAGAGCGTTAGTGTATACGCGTGTGCTATGTTATAAAGTTGATTGCATTTACATTTGCCTAGTGTTTCACTGTTTACTTTTGTTTCAGGAATTTAGGTGTAATTCCAAATGTAGTTTAGTCTCAGTGGGAAGTTTTGTTTTCAAAACAGAATAAGCTCAACTGATCAAACACTCAACAAATCTTCCCCTGAGTGTGAGACAAGGAATAAAAATGTTAACAGTTGGACGAAAATGTGCAAAAAAAAAAAAAAAAAAGTTTGTTCTCAGGAACTGATGAGAGAAGATGCTTTTTAGTGAGGTGGAGAGGTATTTTAATTACTTGGGTCTACAATCGAATCCCAACTACAAGTGAAACAGATAAAAAGGCCTACCTTGATTTTTTTTTAGCATGGGTTGCATTTTCTCCTATCATGATTGAATGGAAAGTCACAAATGTATGTCCTACAACACTGAAACTTTAAAGTCACTCCAACACAGGAGTTTGAGTCAGGATCAAAGCCAAAAGGGCTTTCAAATGTGTTTGCTTTTGGTCGACATTTGGATGGATGCAATGAGGGTTTAAAGCATGAGTGTGATTAGAGCTGCCTCAATGTGATGATCTCTTGAGCTTCTAATAGTGTTTTTTTTTCCTCTGTCTCTTTCTTTGCTGCTTTTCGCTCTCTGTGAATGATTTTTATGCTTTGCTAAAACATGTGGGGGCGTTGAGAGAGGATTTAAATGCAACGATCCTCCTCCTCTTATTTGTGTGTGTGTGTGTGTGTGTGTGTGTGTGTGTGTGTGCGTGTGTGTGTGTGTGTGCGTGTGTGTGTGTGTGTGTGTGTGTGTGTGTGTGTGCGCGCGCGTGTGCGTGCGTGTGTGTTTTTTGTTTTGGTGAATCTCGGCGTTCTCTTCTGCGAGCCTCTGATGACGACAGGGCAGCTTTAAGCCTGGCAGTGCCCACGGCAGCCTGCCGTCTCCGCGCTACCCACTCTCCCCCGCGTTTGGCATGCCGTAGACGCGAGGGTGGGGTTCCTCTCGCGCAGACCCTGTCATTCCCAGGAAAGCCTACATGTCCACCCATGCAGGATTCCTGACAGGCCCCCACTTTGGGACCTCGTTGAATGAAAGTTGGGAAGACTACAGCGTTCGTTTATCTAGGCTAGAAAATATGCATGATACATTCGTATGACCGCAAGGCTCAACAAGTGAATCATGTCCTGTAATGTTTTCCAGTGATCTATTTAATGAACTGAACTTGACAATTGTTATCAAATTTGACTTGGAGGGTGACAAAACGTTTGATGTGCCACATGTATTGTATTTAAAATATATATATCTCAAACCACAAACATGGAAAAGCAGATTGCCTTAACTAATTAACTTGAATACAAAGTTGATATTTCATTGTTTAAATTATACTGAGCAGCCAGAAGCTTTTCCATGTTGCACGAGTTCCTTTTGCGGTTCTGTGATTATCATTACACTATCATCTTTATCATCTCTATTGAAAATATAATGCCATGGAGAGGATAGTAACAAGTCGTGAAATTGATATTTTTTAATAGTCCATTACATATACTAATTGGAAGGCCCCCCCCCCCCATTCAGGAAAGGGAAAGCTGGCATGCACGGCTAGAGATGGCAATTAGTCAGTAACTTGACTGATAGTAACCTTAAATTCTTTTGCTTCATATATAAACTATAACAGAAATAATTGCGTTTCTGCAACTCTACTTCAAACAAAGGAGGAACAACTCTACCGGTGATGCTCATGATAAGATGCAATCATTTTAATAACATTTGCCCACCAAGTTTACCGAGCTTGATAGCAAAGAGAATGCGGCAGGTCTCGATTGGAAATAAAACGCCAGCCTGTGCTTCCTGGTTATTATTCAGTTGTCACACGGAAAGTCTTACCTTTTCAATTCGTATACATCGACGGTAAGCTCTGTTCAAACTCATAATATGCAGAAGGAAATGCAACTGACGCTTGGATCAAC